GCCCACACAACTGTACATGTCTACCCTGCCCTGCCAGAAGCCCCCTTGCCTGGGCTGGGACTGTGGAAGAGTGGGAGGAGCAAAGGCTGAGAGTCAAAGCACAGGTTCTAGGCCTGGCTCTGAGTGACCTGGGACCAGCAACAATAAACTCTCAAGCTTTGGTTTCCTTGTCTGTATTGTGGAGAATTGTTATGGTTGATCATTGAGGGTCCCTTGAGCTCTGACACCCATCCATCTGGGGCCTTTACACCCTCACTGACTGGTGCCCCCCAAGCCTTATTTATGCCCCCTTGAGACTATCATGCCCTCCGAGCCCCCTATGTCCCACAGGTCCCCTGTGCCTCCCCATAACCCTCCTCTGAGCCTCCCCATGCTCCCTGTGTGCCCCTGGCCCCCCAACCAGCTTCCCAGGCTCCCCATGACCTTCTGTGCTCCTCCTCTGTGCCTCAAGTCTCATGGTGCCCCCTGCCTCTCTGTGCCCCCCATGCCTTCCAGGGGCTCTCCAGGTCCCCTTTCCATGCATCCCCGTGACCCCCGTGCCCCGCAGGCCCCACCTTGCTGGTCCGATCGTAGCTGTCGTGCAGCTGCAGGTGTTGCCCCACCTTGCTGCTCAGGTCCACCCACTTGCCCTTGAACCATTTGACTACAGGTGGTTTCAGGAGGCTAGCCCCTGCCACGCGAGCTGAGAAGGTGATGCTGCCACCTGCAGGAGAGGGGTGACAATCGGGGATGCCCTGCTGCCTCCCTCCCCACTTCACCCTGGGTGCAGCAGCCCTGCACTCACCCGCGGTCACCTCGCCATCCTGTGGCCTCATCACAAAGAGGCCGATGGGATCGTCAGGGACACTGGGTCCATCGGGGGCTGCTGAGCTTGACCCTGTGGACAGAGGCCTTTGAGACCTGCCCTGGGACACCCCCATCCACTGACCCAGCCTCCCTGACCCGCCCCTCTCACCTTCAGGCCTCGGGGAGCCTCCTTCCACTTCAGTGGCCGAGGCCAGGGCTTCTCCGGGGGCTCCAGGAGCCTCAGCAGGGGCGGGGGCAGGGCCTGGCAAAGGCTCTGCCTTCCCTGGAGGGGATCAGATGGGGGGTCGTGTAGCAGCTTCTAACCAGAGACCCCCTCTTCTTGTCCCTGGTCCTTCCCGCCTTTGCAGTGTGTACAAAGGTTCATTCAGCCTGCCTCTCACCTTCTCCTCGCCCTCACTGGCCGTCTGTGCCCACATTCCAGGGGCTCAGCCTGAACATCCCTCCTCTCCTTCCCCAGGCTCTGGTCTTGGTCCAGCCCCCCAGGCTGGGCTGGGTCTCCCTCCACACCCATAAGCTCATGGGGCTTCCCTGCCAGCACACACAGCCCACCAAATTTCCATCTGCGTGGGCATGTCCAGTGGGAAGGCAGGTTATGTCTTATTCATCTCTGAACTTCCCCCACCTCCGTAACGGCCGAGACAGGCCAGGGAGCCACGTGGGGACACTCAGAAAGGTCTTGCTACAGAAAACAGGAAAAGGCCATTGCTGGCTGAGGGCACAGCCGAAGCAAAGTTAAGAAAGTGAGAAAACATCTCCTGCACTCTGGTCGAAGGAGAGGTGGTGGGGCTGCCCCTGCTCCCAGTAGCTCCAACTTCAGGGAAGGCTGCCCAAGGTCTTACCTGCTTCTAAGACCTTGAGGTCAAACTTGACCTTGGAGGAGCCAGCGATGACTGCATAGGACCCCTGGTCGGCAGAGCCCACGTCCCTCACTGTCAGCGTGTGCCGCGTGCCCTCGGCTACCAGGCCATACTTGTCACTGGCACTGATGTCACTGCCTGCCCGCTGCCAGCGCACCTTCACTCCTGCCCGCTCTGTCTCGGCCTCGAACACGGCAGGGCTGCCTGTGGCCACCTCCACTGACCGTGGCTTCTTGCTGAAGGCAGAAACTGAGGGGCAAATGGAATCTGCAGGGGCCCCTGGCTTGCCCATGCACACCACCCCTATAGTGCTTCTTATTAAATACGACGATAAGCGCTTTAATGCATCACCTCGTTTAATGCTCCAATGGCTCTATGAGGTAGGTGCAGTTATTATGTCCATTTCTCAGATGAGGACTCTGAGGCTCAGAGAGGTTAAGTGACTTACCCAAGATCACATAGCCAGTAGGTAGGAGAGCCAGGCCTGTGGTCCAACCTCCATACAAGAATTTTGCTAGGTGTGTCCCTGGATACCCCACCCTCTCAGCCTGTGGAAGCCCATCCCCCTTTCACCCCACCAGCTGGGGCACTTGGCAAGGGACCAGTACTCTGCCTTCTTGGACGTGGCTAAATTTGTCCTCTAAGGGCTTCAGGCTGAGAATCAGCAACCGAGATAAGCCTGGCCTGGGAGGGAGCTGGGGCTGGGGGGATGATCCCTGACATGGACAACCTTGGTAAGGGCACAGGCCAGGACTGGGACTCTGGGCTGTGACTTTCTCTGCCCTTGGCTGGGGATCAGGGGCCTCTTGACCATCCCTTCCCAGAGCAGAAGGGCTGCAATACCCCACTGCGGGGGTCATGACTGGTGTGCGGGCCACAGGGGTGCAGGCGGCGCAGAAAGCAGACAGTCTCAGAGCTGGAAGGAACCAACCTAACCCCTCCTTGTATAGATGGGGAAACTGAGACCCAGAAGGGGAGGGACTTGTCCAAGAGCATTCAGGGAGCCTGGCTCAAGTCTGGAGTCATCCTGGGGTCCTTCCTGCAGCAGCCTTTTCCCAAAAGGCAAGCCCAGGCCCAACCTTGCTGCAGGAGATGGGCATGGAGGCAGGGAAGGGGTCTTCTGCGTCCTGAGAGGGGGGCGATGGCCCACTTCCTGCCTTGGCTCTCCCCCACCCTGTGCCCCTGACCCTGGTTTACTCTCATTCTCATCAGGAGGGTGAGAAGGAGAAACTGAGACTCAAAAAAAGGACCCAGGAGGACGGTGCCCCTGTGCTGGGGCTCAGAGGCCTCGACCTCATCAACCCCCTCAGGAACTCGCTCCGAGGCCCGCCCCCAATTGCAGATGTCCCCAGCCCTCCCCGCCCCACGCTCAGCCCCAACCCCAGGCCTGGAGCTACCTGGTTTCTTCCCCGGCTCAGGCATCTTGGGAGAGGTCACGCCAGGAACTGAGCACGCACGGGCCACCGAAAGAGAATCTGAGCAGGGATCCGTCCCCCTACTATATAAGGGGCCACCCCCTCCCCAGGCCCTCCTTATCTGCACCCTGCCCAGCCACCTGCTAAATATAGACAAATTCCAGAGATCAAGGGCTCTCCAGGAGAACATGGGCCCCGTCCCCTCCCCTGCCAGCCCAATATGACAGCTTCTGCCCCCCAGCCCTCAATAAACCTCAGGGGTACCCCAAGCCCTGTCTGTACGTCCTTCTGACAGGCAAGTTGTGCGGTGGGAGCGTGTGGGACCCATAACCCTGAGGCTGATGGGTCAAACATATCCTTGCCGGGCGGTGGTTACATGCACAGCCCTGGGCTGGGCTGCCCGGGGTCCTGGCTTCCCCCGTCAGTGTTCCCCTGTGACCTTCTGCCCCCTGTGACTGCCTCCACACACCCTCCCCCTGCCCCCGCTCAGGTCACATCAGGAACATCGGTTGCTACACAGCAAGAAGCAAATTACACGTGACCCACTGTAAGCAAGACCCAATACCAGGGCAGGTCATTTGTCCCTCACAGTCCGGAGGGAGGAATTCTGTACCCAAGGATTGTCCACACGGTCAAAACTTACCATCCCTTTTAACACCGAAATCCATTCTTTTCTTCCATTTTAACCATATTTAAACCTCATCTCACGTTCCTGGGCCTTCTTTAAAAGGGGACTGGGCACCACTTTCCCTCTCTCCGGGCTCAGAGATCCACGTAGGGAGTGTCATGTTTGGGCTTCCCCAGTCTGAGCCCTCGGGGAGAGGAGGTGTGTGTGGGTGTCAGCCCCAACACGGATGGCCCCAGAATCTGGATTCTCTGAGGTCTGCAAGTTGCTGAGGAAAGTTCCCTCACTCCCAGGCTGTCGGCCACCTCTTCTTGCTACTGTCGGAAGCAAGACGTTTACAGGTTTCCCTGTTCATCCTTCTCTGGCTCTCCCCTGCTGTGCGCCAGGAGCCAGAGCAACCAGGCACTAGGGTACGTGGGAGGAGTTCACCCGCATCAGGGTCCTGCCAGCATGGATGCCGTGAGGACGCTCTGCGGCCAACGGGAGCTCCGAGGCTTCATTCCTGCTCCTGACCAAGCTGCACGTTACCCCCTTCCGGACACGTGAAGCTTCCCACCTCACACTGCCATGGTGGCCCACATGGGGTGGGATCAGGGATCCCACCCAGGAAGCCTCGTTGTGTGACCTTGGACAAGTTATTTGACCTCTATGAGCCTCAGTTTCCCAGTCTATAACATGGGATGATATTAGATTCCACTTCTCAAGGTTACCATGTAATAAATGGCCCGAAAATCCAGTGTTGTTGTCATTGTTAATTAATATCATCATCACTGGGGTCATAATCTAAAGGTTATGAGTTTAAGCTTCATTGAGGCATTAAGAAAAGAGAATTTATCAGGCACAGAGGGCTTTTTTTTTTTTTTTTTGGTACGCAGGCCTCTCACTGTTGTGGCCTCTCCCGTTGCGGAGCACAGGCTCTGGACGCAAAGGCTCAGCAGCCATGGCTCACAGGCCCAGCCGCTCCGCGGCATGTGGGATCTTCCCGGACCGGGGCACAAACCTGTGTCCCCTGCATCGGCAGGCGGACTCTCAACCACTGTGCCACCAGGGAAGCCCGCAGAGGGCTTTTTAATGATTTATTCCTCTAAGAACAACTGAGGATTCGTTCTTTCCACCGGCTCTGACTCCTAGTCAGGCACGAAGTGTCATCTTTCCTCACGTCCCCAGCAACCAGCATTGGGTAGTATCCTTGATAAATGCCCGATGGACAGATGAGAAAAAGAGAGATCAGATGGGGGGGCGGGAGCAGACAAGGTGCACAAAAAATTTTAAAAGAGACTCTCTGTGCCGCAAGAGGACTCACTGAGAATAACTTTAATAACTGGTATTCCTGAGGAAGCTGATGGGGGAGAGGTGTGGAGAGAAAGGGATGCTTAAAGAGGAAGGTTCAATTTACACAAATATGATGACTTCGAACTCCCAAGGAAGCACCCTTGGTACTAAGCAAGCTGACCCTTGCTGGGGCCAGATGCCCAGGTGGCTTTCTGGAGCCGGGGCTGGAGTCCTGGTGGGAGGCGAAGCAGGGGTGTGGGCGGGGGCTTGGAGGAGGAGGGGGTGGGCGGGGAGGCGAGGCCTGGCCCGCCCCAGTCCTGCCCCTGGCCCCTGGGAGCTTCCCCCCTGTGTCCGGCCGGGCGGGGGGTTAATGCTATGGCCAGAGGGGAGGCCTGGCGGCCCGGCGGGCTCGGGCCTGGGCTCAGTGGGGCGGGTGGCGCCTTTCGGCCAGGCCCCCGCGGCCCAGCACCTCCCCACTGAACTGGTAGGTGAGCTTCTTCTTGACTTTCTTGACCTCGCCCGTCTTGCCGTAGTTGCGAAGCGCGCGGGCCATCTTCTGGTAGGTCATCTTCTTGCGGTTGCCTTTCTGGATGCCCCAGCGGTGCGCCAGCGCCTCCTTGTGCTTGGACGAGAACTGGAAGGTGCCCTTGTCCTTGTCCACCCACCAGATGCTGTCCTTCATGTCGCCACTGCGCAGCAGGTCCAGCAGGAACTGGTACAGGCGGATCTTCTTCTTGCTGCCTGCGGCCGGAGGTGGTCAGCGCCCACGCGGGGACCCAGTCCGCCTCCCCCTGACGTGGGACCCCCGGGGTGGTCTCTGGGGAAAGGTCACCAGCGAGCATGCGCACACCCACTGCCACGCTCGGCCTCAGCACACGTGCTTAGACACGTGCGCGGGGACAGACAGCCCCAGGCGCCCTCATTAAACACACGTGAAGACACATGTCGTCAAACACTCATGCACTCACACACACACACCCATACACATGCACTCAGATCTGTGGCTTGACTGCCGAGTCCGTCGGCCTTGGCCGCGGTGGGTACGGGGCGCACGGACGGACCGGGTCACGGCTGGGCCCAGGCTGGGTCGGGGGTGGGACTGGGCCCCCTACCTGTCTCCCCGTGCAGGAGGCCAGGCCCTGGCTCCAGGCCGTCGGCCTCCCCGTCAGACACCTCCAGTGGGGGGCTCTGCCGCTCGCCCTCCTCCTCATCCGAGCTGGGCTGAGCCGGGGACAGGGAGGGATATGGGAGGCACATCCGGGGCAGGTAGGAGACCTGGAAAGGCGGCGGAAGGAGGGTTGAGGTCACTGAGGGGCAGTTCAAAGCTCAGGGCTGCCAGGTAGGGGTCGTTTGCGTGAGAGAAGAGGGGGTGCTGGCGCGGGGCAGAGATATTTGGGAGAAGGCTGGGCACCCTGAAGGTCAGGCGGGGTCACCCCACACAGGGGGCAAGTTATGGGGAAAAGGGGCCCCTGAATTCCCACCTATCTCCCTGGTTCGGGGCGGCGTGGCCCGGGGAAGGAAGCGCACGGACCGGCAGCAGCCCTGGGGGGAGGAGGCGCTGGAGAGGCAGGCACTGGAGCGAACGGGGTTGTGTAGGCGAGTGGCAAGGGCGCCAAGAGGCGGTGGAGGTCCGTGAGGGTCGTGAAGGTCAGTGGAGGTCACTGACTGGGGTTAGGGTCGCTGGGGAGGAGGAGGGGCCGTAGAGGTCAGTGGAGGTCAGGGCGCAGGGACTTGGGTGCCGGATCCGTGAGGGGTCAGCAAATGGGGCTCGGGAGGTGCCCAGGGCCGGGCCTTCAGGCTCGGGAGGATCAGTGGGGACGCGGGGATTATTGCGGGGAGATAAGGGGTGTGGGGTCACGGGGTCAGTCGGGGGGTCAGGAGGCGGCCGTTGGGGCTCTGGCCGCTGTTGGTGCTGTGAGGCAGGAAGCCGAGTTGAGTAAGAGCCCGCGTCAGCTTCCTGCGAAGCGCCGGCCTCACCGCAGGCTGCGGGCTGGGCCGGGCCAGGCCGGGTGGCCCCGCACGCACCTACCTGGTGGCCAAGGCTGGCGTGGGTGGGCGCCATGGGTGTGTCGAGCACGTGCATCTGCTCCAGCTCCATGTGGCGGTAGAGCTGCTGCAGCTGCGGGGCCTGCACGCTCTGGAGCTCCGTGAAGTGGTTCTCGGGGAAGGTCTCGAACTCGCTGTGCATGTGGTGCGGGTGGAAGTCCCAGTAATGGTCTGGGGGGCAGGGCAGGAAAGGCTTATGCTAATTAACGAATAATAATGCCAGGCCCGTGTCACCGTGTAATAATCGCCACGGACCAGGCTGGACGGCAAGGTGACATTAGTCCTCTCACGCCCCACCCTGTTGTTTTCCTACCCCCATTCTATAGATGAGGATACTGAGGCTTGGAGGGGCTACATAGCACGCCTGCAGTCAAAGGCCTCATCAGTGGCAGAGCTGGGACCCAGGTCCGAGGCAAAGGCTGTGTCCTCAACAACCGTTCTGCCCTGCCACGCGTGCGATCACAAGGACGCAGGCTTTTGAGCCAAAGAGTCCGAATCCTGGCTCTGCCGTTTACTTTGTGTGTGACCTCAAACGCGTGCATGGACCCCTCTGGCCTCCGTTGACTCACCTATAAAGTGGGGATAATAGTTACCGGAAGGATACAAATGAGTTCACAGTTGTAAAACCTCCTAGGCCCAGAGCCGGCCCTTGGGGAATGTTGAGTCCCCTCTCCTCCCCTTAAGACCCAGCAGCGGTCCCTGAGCTGACTGGCTGCCCACCGTCACAGCTCACAGCCTTGTCACATGGCCAAGGTGTGACTGCGAAGTCACAGGGCTGACATTCCTCACACGCCAGAACTTGTCTGGGCTCCCGGTGCTGCCCCCTCAAGGCCATGTCCTTGGGCAGCTCCACCTGTGTTCCAGCAAAGATGCGGGGACCCGAGGCTTTCCCAGAAACTCCCTGGTGGGTGCTTTCAGAGTCTGCGGTAGGGTGGCTTTGAGTTTGGGGAATAGCTGCGTGCCACTGGGAGCCCTGCCTGGGACTCAGCCGGCCTTCAACACGGTTTCTCTGGGCACCATTTCCAGGAACAAAAACTGCCACATGTCTGAGGACTTCCTGGGGTCCAAAAGAAGATGTGGTGATAAAGTGACAAGAGGGATTTTCTCGTGTGTCCAAAGAGGGAGTGTACAGGGTGCTAAGCCAGGTTGGTGTCTCCAGGACAAACACAGGGCCCCGTAGGGGGACCATCACCTGCCTGGTGTGTGTGTGTGTGTGTGTGTGTGTGTGTCTTTCTGTTTCTTTCTCACAAACACATACTCACACATCCCTAAGAAATGACATGTGTTGTTTTGGCTCTGCACTGGTTATCAGAAGACTCACTTTCGAATCTCGCTCTGTGATGGCTTTGCTGTGTGACCCTGGACAAGACATTTTATCTCCCCGAGCCTCTGATTCCCCACTGCAAAAGTCAGAGACCCAACTGAGTGGTTACTGAGGTCCAGTCCACGTGTGGAATCATTTGAACCCACAATCCAGGCTCCCACTCCGTGAAGCCACATGGCATAGGAGAGAGAAAGTACATGATTTGGCCAGAGCTGGGTTCGAATCCTGGCTCTGCCACTTAGCGCTGAGCGACACCGGGCAGGTCATTCTACTTCTCTATGCCTGTTGCCTCAGTTGCGAGATGGAGCTAATAACTACACCCATCTCATAGGCTTGCTGTGAGGATTAAATGAGCTAATGCCCGCAAAGCACTTAGAACAGAACATGACACAAAAGAAGACTCGGTAAAACGTTAACTATCGTCATCATTATAGTAATTAGTGTTATTACTGTTTAATGCTCGCTTTAGAGAGCCTAAATCAGCGCTTGAGCAAACAGCAGGTGCTTTAATATGTGTGAGTTCCTCATCTTCCCTTGCTCCCTGCTACCTTAGTCTGTGGCCCAGAGAAATAGTTTGAGGGCCCTGGCTGTCACTTTCTCCCAGAGGCTGGAGTTGGGGGCCCAGCGCTGCACCGAGGGCAGGGATGGGTTTTGTTCGCCTCTGTATTCCCAGTGCCTAGACGCAGTAGGCACTGAACAAACATTTATGGAATGAATGAATGAGTAAATCCTATCCTCTTAAGAACTCTGACTCTCCTTCAGAAAATTATCCAAATCTGAAGGGAAAACAAAACACAGCAACATTGAATTTGTACTTTCATCTTGCCGTGAGTTAACAAGACCCAGAAATTCTCCACTTGCTTTGGGAGGGTTGGCTTTGTCTTTTAGCGAGGGGCTCTTTGGGGCCCTGGGGTTTGGTGAGTGGATCCAGGTCCCTCTTTAGCTGTAGAGCTGCCCTCCGGCCCCGCTCCTGGCCCTTCCCATTTTTGCCTTTTCCTGCCCAGGCTGAAGTGCCCAGATCGTTATAGGATGCCGTGTCCTGCCCACCAACCCCACATGCTCACACCTACTCCAGTTCTGGGTTGGGGAGCCCCTGTGTTCTGTCTTTCTCTCCTGCTCCCCACTTCTGTTCTAGCTCCTCCTGAGACCCATGGGCTCACTCTGGTGGGCCCAGCCTGAGGCCAGCACTTTCCATAGCAGGTCTCAGTACACCCTCATCAGAGTCACTTTCGGGGCTGGAAAGGCCCCAGCCCACTGGAGACCCACAGAATCATCAGTGCCAACAGGAGACCTGGGAATCTGGCCTTTAAGAGGATCCTAAAGAGGTTCCTTGGCTCACTGAGGCTCTGGAACCCTGCCCCAGGGTCCCCTGAAAGCTGCAACAGAGACTCTTGGGCTACAATTAAGGTTTCAAAAAGCCCAACGGAAACCTTGCCTTTACCCTTGATTTGAGGGCTTAGGCATTTATGTAATAAATGCTGTCTGTTTGGCAGGCAGAGACGTTCCAAGGATGGGGCCCTCTGAAGGAACACAATGCCAGGAGTCCATCCTAATGCAAAGGTCAGCACTCCTGGGCTCTTTGGACCTCATTTCTGGATGACTGTTCATGAATGCATTGCTTTATCCCTTTTTGTCACTTCAAGAGGTCACCCGGACTATCCTGCAACTTCTGCCCCTTTAGCATGAACTCTGCTCCTCAAAAGAATATAGTGTGCTTTGCATATCTGGAGATAGCTCTGGACCCTCCCTTCTACAGCCTGTTAGGCACCCAACACGTACTAGGCCTCAATCAATATTTGATTAAGTGACCAATAAATGTTAACTTTTAATGTGTTTTTTATGTACCAGGCACTATGCTAAGTACTTAATCCACATTATCTCATTTAATTCTCACCTTAGCTCTGACAAGGTGGCCACTATAGTATGATCTTCCTTTTGCATATGAGGAAACTGTGACTCAAAGACATTAAGTTCCTTGTCCACAGACAGTCATTGGTAGAGTCAGGATCCAAACCCACCTATGTATGACTCCAGGAACTAAACTCTTACCGCTATGCCATACCACCTCTCAGGAAAAAGACTGCTAAGGAAAGCTTTAAGTAAGGCCCTTGGTGACAGAGAGAATTTACAGGCTGCTCTTATCCATCTGTCTGTCTACCATCATTTACCCCTCATTCATTATTCATCATCCATCCATCATCCAACATCATCCACCCATCATCCATCCATCCACACATCCATCCGTCCATCCACTCCCCAACCAGCTTCCCAGGCTCCCCATGACCTTCTGTGCTCCTCCTCTGTGCCTCAAGTCTCATGGTGCCCCCTGCCTCTCTGTGCCCCCCATGCCTTCCAGGGGCTCTCCAGGTCCCCTTTCCATGCATCCCCGTGACCCCCGTGCCCCGCAGGCCCCACCTTGCTGGTCCGATCGTAGCTGTCGTGCAGCTGCAGGTGTTGCCCCACCTTGCTGCTCAGGTCCACCCACTTGCCCTTGAACCATTTGACTACAGGTGGTTTCAGGAGGCTAGCCCCTGCCACGCGAGCTGAGAAGGTGATGCTGCCACCTGCAGGAGAGGGGTGACAATCGGGGATGCCCTGCTGCCTCCCTCCCCACTTCACCCTGGGTGCAGCAGCCCTGCACTCACCCGCGGTCACCTCGCCATCCTGTGGCCTCATCACAAAGAGGCCGATGGGATCGTCAGGGACACTGGGTCCATCGGGGGCTGCTGAGCTTGACCCTGTGGACAGAGGCCTTTGAGACCTGCCCTGGGACACCCCCATCCACTGACCCAGCCTCCCTGACCCGCCCCTCTCACCTTCAGGCCTCGGGGAGCCTCCTTCCACTTCAGTGGCCGAGGCCAGGGCTTCTCCGGGGGCTCCAGGAGCCTCAGCAGGGGCGGGGGCAGGGCCTGGCAAAGGCTCTGCCTTCCCTGGAGGGGATCAGATGGGGGGTCGTGTAGCAGCTTCTAACCAGAGACCCCCTCTTCTTGTCCCTGGTCCTTCCCGCCTTTGCAGTGTGTACAAAGGTTCATTCAGCCTGCCTCTCACCTTCTCCTCGCCCTCACTGGCCGTCTGTGCCCACATTCCAGGGGCTCAGCCTGAACATCCCTCCTCTCCTTCCCCAGGCTCTGGTCTTGGTCCAGCCCCCCAGGCTGGGCTGGGTCTCCCTCCACACCCATAAGCTCATGGGGCTTCCCTGCCAGCACACACAGCCCACCAAATTTCCATCTGCGTGGGCATGTCCAGTGGGAAGGCAGGTTATGTCTTATTCATCTCTGAACTTCCCCCACCTCCGTAACGGCCGAGACAGGCCAGGGAGCCACGTGGGGACACTCAGAAAGGTCTTGCTACAGAAAACAGGAAAAGGCCATTGCTGGCTGAGGGCACAGCCGAAGCAAAGTTAAGAAAGTGAGAAAACATCTCCTGCACTCTGGTCGAAGGAGAGGTGGTGGGGCTGCCCCTGCTCCCAGTAGCTCCAACTTCAGGGAAGGCTGCCCAAGGTCTTACCTGCTTCTAAGACCTTGAGGTCAAACTTGACCTTGGAGGAGCCAGCGATGACTGCATAGGACCCCTGGTCGGCAGAGCCCACGTCCCTCACTGTCAGCGTGTGCCGCGTGCCCTCGGCTACCAGGCCATACTTGTCACTGGCACTGATGTCACTGCCTGCCCGCTGCCAGCGCACCTTCACTCCTGCCCGCTCTGTCTCGGCCTCGAACACGGCAGGGCTGCCTGTGGCCACCTCCACTGACCGTGGCTTCTTGCTGAAGGCAGAAACTGAGGGGCAAATGGAATCTGCAGGGGCCCCTGGCTTGCCCATGCACACCACCCCTATAGTGCTTCTTATTAAATACGACGATAAGCGCTTTAATGCATCACCTCGTTTAATGCTCCAATGGCTCTATGAGGTAGGTGCAGTTATTATGTCCATTTCTCAGATGAGGACTCTGAGGCTCAGAGAGGTTAAGTGACTTACCCAAGATCACATAGCCAGTAGGTAGGAGAGCCAGGCCTGTGGTCCAACCTCCATACAAGAATTTTGCTAGGTGTGTCCCTGGATACCCCACCCTCTCAGCCTGTGGAAGCCCATCCCCCTTTCGCCCCACCAGCTGGGGCACTTGGCAAGGGACCAGTACTCTGCCTACTTGGACGTGGCTAAATTTGTCCTCTAAGGGCTTCAGGCTGAGAATCAGCAACCGAGATAAGCCTGGCCTGGGAGGGAGCTGGGGCTGGGGGGATGATCCCTGACATGGACAACCTTGGTAAGGGCACAGGCCAGGACTGGGACTCTGGGCTGTGACTTTCTCTGCCCTTGGCTGGGGATCAGGGGCCTCTTGACCATCCCTTCCCAGAGCAGAAGGGCTGCAATACCCCACTGCGGGGGTCATGACTGGTGTGCGGGCCACAGGGGTGCAGGCGGCGCAGAAAGCAGACAGTCTCAGAGCTGGAAGGAACCAACCTAACCCCTCCTTGTATAGATGGGGAAACTGAGACCCAGAAGGGGAGGGACTTGTCCAAGAGCATTCAGGGAGCCTGGCTCAAGTCTGGAGTCATCCTGGGGTCCTTCCTGCAGCAGCCTTTTCCCAAAAGGCAAGCCCAGGCCCAACCTTGCTGCAGGAGATGGGCATGGAGGCAGGGAAGGGGTCTTCTGCGTCCTGAGAGGGGGGCGATGGCCCACTTCCTGCCTTGGCTCTCCCCCACCCTGTGCCCCTGACCCTGGTTTACTCTCATTCTCATCAGGAGGGTGAGAAGGAGAAACTGAGACTCAAAAAAAGGACCCAGGAGGACGGTGCCCCTGTGCTGGGGCTCAGAGGCCTCGACCTCATCAACCCCCTCAGGAACTCGCTCCGAGGCCCACCCCCAATTGCAGATGTCCCCAGCCCTCCCCGCCCCACGCTCAGCCCCAACCCCAGGCCTGGAGCTACCTGGTTTCTTCCCCGGCTCAGGCATCTTGGGAGAGGTCACGCCAGGAACTGAGCACGCACGGGCCACCGAAAGAGAATCTGAGCAGGGATCCGTCCCCCTACTATATAAGGGGCCACCCCCTCCCCAGGCCCTCCTTATCTGCACCCTGCCCAGCCACCTGCTAAATATAGACAAATTCCAGAGATCAAGGGCTCTCCAGGAGAACATGGGCCCCGTCCCCTCCCCTGCCAGCCCAATATGACAGCTTCTGCCCCCCAGCCCTCAATAAACCTCAGGGGTACCCCAAGCCCTGTCTGTACGTCCTTCTGACAGGCAAGTTGTGCGGTGGGAGCGTGTGGGACCCATAACCCTGAGGCTGATGGGTCAAACATATCCTTGCCGGGCGGTGGTTACATGCACAGCCCTGGGCTGGGCTGCCCGGGGTCCTGGCTTCCCCCGTCAGTGTTCCCCTGTGACCTTCTGCCCCCTGTGACTGCCTCCACACACCCTCCCCCTGCCCCCGCTCAGGTCACATCAGGAACATCGGTTGCTACACAGCAAGAAGCAAATTACACGTGACCCACTGTAAGCAAGACCCAATACCAGGGCAGGTCATTTGTCCCTCACAGTCCGGAGGGAGGAATTCTGTACCCAAGGATTGTCCACACGGTCAAAACTTACCATCCCTTTTAACACCGAAATCCATTCTTTTCTTCCATTTTAACCATATTTAAACCTCATCTCACGTTCCTGGGCCTTCTTTAAAAGGGGACTGGGCACCACTTTCCCTCTCTCCGGGCTCAGAGATCCACGTAGGGAGTGTCATGTTTGGGCTTCCCCAGTCTGAGCCCTCGGGGAGAGGAGGTGTGTGTGGGTGTCAGCCCCAACACGGATGGCCCCAGAATCTGGATTCTCTGAGGTCTGCAAGTTGCTGAGGAAAGTTCCCTCACTCCCAGGCTGTCGGCCACCTCTTCTTGCTACTGTCGGAAGCAAGACGTTTACAGGTTTCCCTGTTCATCCTTCTCTGGCTCTCCCCTGCTGTGCGCCAGGAGCCAGAGCAACCAGGCACTAGGGTACGTGGGAGGAGTTCACCCGCATCAGGGTCCTGCCAGCATGGATGCCGTGAGGACGCTCTGCGGCCAACGGGAGCTCCGAGGCTTCATTCCTGCTCCTGACCAAGCTGCACGTTACCCCCTTCCGGACACGTGAAGCTTCCCACCTCACACTGCCATGGTGGCCCACATGGGGTGGGATCAGGGATCCCACCCAGGAAGCCTCGTTGTGTGACCTTGGACAAGTTATTTGACCTCTATGAGCCTCAGTTTCCCAGTCTATAACATGGGATGATATTAGATTCCACTTCTCAAGGTTACCATGTAATAAATGGCCCGAAAATCCAGTGTTGTTGTCATTGTTAATTAATATCATCATCACTGGGGTCATAATCTAAAGGTTATGAGTTTAAGCTTCATTGAGGCATTAAGAAAAGAGAATTTATCAGGCGCAGAGGGCTTTTTTTTTTTTTTTTTCGGTACGCAGGCCTCTCACTGTTGTGGCCTCTCCCGTTGCGGAGCACAGGCTCTGGACGCAAAGGCTCAGCAGCCATGGCTCACAGGCCCAGCCGCTCCGCGGCATGTGGGATCTTCCCGGACCGGGGCACAAACCTGTGTCCCCTGCATCGGCAGGCGGACTCTCAACCACTGTGCCACCAGGGAAGCCCGCAGAGGGCTTTTTAATGATTTATTCCTCTAAGAACAACTGAGGATTCGTTCTTTCCACCGGCTCTGACTCCTAGTCAGGCACGAAGTGTCATCTTTCCTCACGTCCCCAGCAACCAGCATTGGGTAGTATCCTTGATAAATGCCCGATGGACAGATGAGAAAAAGAGAGATCAGATGGGGGGGCGGGAGCAGACAAGGTGCACAAAAAATTTTAAAAGAGACTCTCTGTGCCGCAAGAGGACTCACTGAGAATAACTTTAATAACTGGTATTCCTGAGGAAGCTGATGGGGGAGAGGTGTGGAGAGAAAGGGATGCTTAAAGAGGAAGGTTCAATTTACACAAATATGATGACTTCGAACTCCCAAGGAAGCACCCTTGGTACTAAGCAAGCTGACCCTTGCTGGGGCCAGATGCCCAGGTGGCTTTCTGGAGCCGGGGCTGGAGTCCTGGTGGGAGGCGAAGCAGGGGTGTGGGCGGGGGCTTGGAGGAGGAGGGGGTGGGCGGGGAGGCGAGGCCTGGCCCGCCCCAGTCCTGCCCCTGGCCCCTGGGAGCTTCCCCCCTGTGTCCGGCCGGGCGGGGGGTTAATGCTATGGCCAGAGGGGAGGCCTGGCGGCCCGGCGGGCTCGGGCCTGGGCTCAGTGGGGCGGGTGGCGCCTTTCGGCCAGGCCCCCGCGGCCCAGCACCTCCCCACTGAACTGGTAGGTGAGCTTCTTCTTGACTTTCTTGACCTCGCCCGTCTTGCCGTAGTTGCGAAGCGCGCGGGCCATCTTCTGGTAGGTCATCTTCTTGCGGTTGCCTTTCTGGATGCCCCAGCGGTGCGCCAGCGCCTCCTTGTGCTTGGACGAGAACTGGAAGGTGCCCTTGTCCTTGTCCACCCACCAGATGCTGTCCTTCATGTCGCCACTGCGCAGCAGGTCCAGCAGGAACTGGTACAGGCGGATCTTCTTCTTGCTGCCTGCGGCCGGAGGTGGTCAGCGCCCACGCGGGGACCCAGTCCGCCTCCCCCTGACGTGGGACCCCCGGGGTGGTCTCTGGGGAAAGGTCACCAGCGAGCATGCGCACACCCACTGCCACGCTCGGCCTCAGCACACGTGCTTAGACACGTGCGCGGGGACAGACAGCCCCAGGCGCCCTCATTAAACACACGTGAAGACACATGTCGTCAAACACTCATGCACTCACACACACACACCCATACACATGCACTCAGATCTGTGGCTTGACTGCCGAGTCCGTCGGCCTTGGCCGCGGTGGGTACGGGGCGCACGGACGGACCGGGTCACGGCTGGGCCCAGGCTGGGTCGGGGGTGGGACTGGGCCCCCTACCTGTCTCCCCGTGCAGGAGGCCAGGCCCTGGCTCCAGGCCGTCGGCCTCCCCGTCAGACACCTCCAGTGGGGGGCTCTGCCGCTCGCCCTCCTCCTCATCCGAGCTGGGCTGAGCCGGGGACAGGGAGGGATATGGGAGGCACATCCGGGGCAGGTAGGAGACCTGGAAAGGCGGCGGAAGGAGGGTTGAGGTCACTGAGGGGCAGTTCAAAGCTCAGGGCTGCCAGGTAGGGGTCGTTTGCGTGAGAGAAGAGGGGGTGCTGGCGCGGGGCAGAGATATTTGGGAGAAGGCTGGGCACCCTGAAGGTCAGGCGGGGTCACCCCACACAGGGGGCAAGTTATGGGGAAAAGGGGCCCCTGAATTCCCACCTATCTCCCTGGTTCGGGGCGGCGTGGCCCGGGGAAGGAAGCGCACGGACCGGCAGCAGCCCTGGGGGGAGGAGGCGCTGGAGAGGCAGGCACTGGAGCGAACGGGGTTGTGTAGGCGAGTGGCAAGGGCGCCAAGAGGCGGTGGAGGTCCGTGAGGGTCGTGAAGGTCAGTGGAGGTCACTGACTGGGGTTAGGGTCGCTGGGGAGGAGGAGGGGCCGTAGAGGTCAGTGGAGGTCAGGGCGCAGGGACTT